CGCATAAATAAAGTTTTTGATAAAAAAAAACTAATCTATTTATTCAGAATTGTCTTGCGTCGAAAGCGAATTAAACCTCATAGAAACATCCGACGACGGCGTCATTCGAGAGCTTCCGACAGACTGACGACAGTGACGACGCGTGTCACGGGGGAGGGGTGTGATGAAAAGCGAGTACAAGTGGCTGAGAGATAGAATTGGTGCCGAATCCTCGTTAATCGATTCAGAACGATTTTTAAATGTTTTTTTTTTATAAAGTAAATAATATTTGCGTATGGAACTAAAGAGCCGCAGCTTCACATCCAAAGAGCCGCATGTGGCTCGCAAGCCGCAGGTTGCCGACCCCTGCCCTAGGCTTATGCCTGTGCACACACAAGCCTAGGGCCATTTGGGCTACCAAGCTGTCTCGAATTTGTGAAATTGTAACTGTGACTTATACCGACATTCTATTTGTCTCTCTTCTCCGTTATCACCAGGCTATTAGTCAAGTAATTGTAAAATGGGAAATCTATGATGGAAAAGTGATGAATCGAAAGTATCGTGAGCGCTTATTATATGGACTAGAGCGATAGAGGAAAGAGAAAGGGAAGAGAGCTTAAAAAGAAGGATAGGCAGGGTCAGACCTCAGATGTGTGATGATTCTCGAACGAATAGGTGTGTATGTGTGCTGATCTTTGTAATTATAAATTGTGAATATGTGTGACTAATATTATTTTCTTTTTTATTTTGTGCATGTTATAAGTTATAAATAAATATAAACAAACAACACTAACCTTATAACATTAAATCTAAATACCAAAATGATTAATTTACTGTGTTTTTGTTATTTCTTACTCCTGTTTTTAGGTATTCGGTATTCGGCCGAATAGCGGAAAATAGGCCAAATACCGAATAGTAACCGAATATTCATTACATCACTAATCATTGCATTTCCTGGATATTTGACACATTGCTTTAGTGTGGATGGATGAAAGATTTGTTTGGTTTTTCACAAACGTACACCCTGATCACCATAAGATACTCGAAACCTTGATTTGTCACTAAAAATAATCTTATTCCAATTTTTGGAGGTCCAATTAATATAATGTTTATATTACTGAAACAAGTTTAGTGTTTTTTTTTTTTTTCTAGACTCCGTGAAGTGAAGTGTGTGAACTGTTGTACCGTGGGACTCATTTACATTCTCGTTTTTCTGTATAGAACAATAATATCTGCTTGATTTAAAACAATTTTTTTTTTCTTACTATTTCCTTTCATTTATGTTCATCTCTCAAAATTCTTGAGCATTTTCTTCCACAGTTTAGACAATTATTTAAGAATTTTCTTTCCCAAATTCATTTGTTTTAAGATGTTTGATACTGTGTATTGTAAACAATTAATTATTTTTGCAATTCCAATTGAGATTTACCGTCATTTTGTAAAATTTGGATTGTTTTTCTCGTTCCAGATGATAAGTCTCACTCGCTTCTCATTGTGATGTAAATCACAAATTTTACAACAAAGGTGTCAGATCATCTTAAACAATATATCTGTGTAACAAAAAGTAATTCTAAAAATAAGTATTTTAAATATTTCAATTTTTTGAATTTCTTAAAACGATGAATTTTTAAAATCTACTTAGCATTTTCACATACAGTTTTGTTTTTGAAATACAGTGGTACCTCAGGATACGAAATTAATCCGTTCTGAAACTGAGATCGTATCATGAAAATGTCGTAAGGTGAATCATTTTTTCCCATATGATTACATGTAAAACCAAATAATTCGTTCTAACACGAAAAACACACTCAAATTAAAGCTAAGTAGTACATTAAAAAAAAGAAAAACACTGATTATGAAAAATATAGTACATTAAAAAAAAGGAAAACACTGAAAAATGCGTTTTGTAGTTGTAAATGTATAAATAACCATAATAGATTAATAATTGATTTTTAAAAAATGTAGTTTTATTTGCACTTTACTTTTGAGGATAGACGACGGTGGAGGTGTAAACTGGTAGTGGTGGAGAGGGAGAAGGGATATGATACTAAAACTTAACTTACATAACATAATGTAACAATAACTTAAAAATAACTTAGAAAAGATGAAAAAAATTAGTGTTGTTTTTTATATTTTTTTGTTTTAATTTTTATTTGCTACTTTTTGCTTTTTTTCCTTCACTTCCACCAGAACTTTCACTGGCTAGAGGTCGCTCAGTAAAATATCTATGCAAAGAGGTTTGGCTTTGCCTACTTTTTAAAATGTTTCTAAAATGACTTAGGCAAATGTCATAACTCCGAGCGGCAATACGGCCAGTGTGAACTTTTCGGGATGTTTCTTTTCAATAAAATCGGTCACTTTCTGATAATACCTCGAGATTTCCTTTATCGAGCGAGATCCTTCCACCACGAAGCAAACGCGGGACTGAGACCGGTGAACAGAAGTGAATAAAAAATGGCGCTGCGAACTAATGTAACGTCGTATGGTGAGTTTTTGTTCGTATCGTGGAGCAAAAATATGTTTGAATTTCATGTCGTATCCTGAAAATTTCGTATGCTGGGGCGTTCGTATCCTGAGGTACCACTGTACAGTCAATAACAGGTTAATTAGATGCTTAGTGAATTATTAGCAGATAGGACTTAAAATTTTATAATTTTAACATTGAAAGTTAGAAAAGACTGGAATTGTAAGATTATGATAATTTTTTGATTCAGAGTGGTACATTTCATTATTTGTTGTTAATGAAGTTTTCAGATAAATCCTGGACCAGATATGTGGATTTTTTTTCTCCTGGTGAAGAAAGCAAGAGCCCTTAGAAAGATGAGAGCAATAAATGCTAGAGTTTCCAGACCAATGATTCAAGAAGTCACAAAACGTTTGCTGCTATTTCAAAATCTTCAATTTTCATGCATCTAATAGGTGACCTTAAAAATTCAAATCAAAATATGAAATTTCTCATAAAGTATTGTCCATAAGAATTTCAAATGAAATTCTTATGAGTCATGAAAAAATTCAAATAGAAATTTCCAGAATTTGCAAAATGATTCAATTAAAAAGAAATTTTTTATGCCAACAAGTGTGACCCTCTTTTAAAGCAATGCTAGACTGGAGTTTAGCTCTGAAAAGGAAAGATGTAAAAATGGAAAAATGTTGAAAGAACATGTAATTGTCCTCTTGGGTGCAAGTACAATTGATGAAAAATTTCAACTTTAGTTACTGGAAAATCTGTAAAGCCATATTCCTTCAGAAACAAAGCATGAAGATTGCTTTTGATGGAGGGGTAGCTCTAATGAAGAGTCTAATGGAGTGCTTTGTGTTTTGTGCAGAAGTAAAGCATGCACTATTAAAACTGAAAACATTTGCTGTATACAAATGCCTTTCTATGTTGACTGGTATTTTGACAATGGAGGACAAAAGCATGCTTTCAGCAGAAAAAGACAGACAACAATCTTGTACTTTTCTGTCCAATCAACTTGTATTTGTATCTAGTTGAATTTGTAGTCTTTTGTGTTTTCTTTTTCTTTATGAACAGTACTGGATAGTTTCCCCGTCATATTTGATGGAAACAAGTAGTTAATGGTTCAGCCTTTTGTCCCGGTTGAGTCAGTCAGAATCCCATTATTCGTATCTTAACATTCCAAGGGAAAACGAATGAAATGTATTTATCCTACTCCTTCCCCTAGTTAATATATTATGTCTCCAACGAATACTACTTGCTTGTCAAACCAACTGAGACAACATGGCAGAGCATAATGGTATGGTTTTTTATCTAGGATACAAATGGCAGAAGTATCTATGCTTCTGCCATTTGCACCCAGATACAAAACAATACAAAAATTCTATAGGCTTGAAAAAAGGTTTCCTTGCTGTCTTTTCTGAATAGTAGATACCTTAATATTCTTTGTTTCTTGAATAAGATCAGGCAAAAACAGCTAAATAAAAAATTACGATGCAGAATGATACAAAGTAGTGTCATCTGGTCAACAATCTTGCTTTCAATACTATAATTGTTAGTATTAATGTTATTAATATTATTTTCTTCTATTATTCATTAATACTAATAATAATCATCATCATAAATAATAAATATTACATTATGTTATTTTTTAATATGTTATGAAGAATGTGTTATCTTTTGAGAAAAACGACAACAAACAATTAAGCAAATAGACTTTGGTTATTATATTAATAACTGTAAATTTGAATTGCAGCACTATATCTTCTATAATCAATGAAAAGATGTTAGTTATGACATCATATTTTTTCAAAATAATTGGCATGCCACATAAAAATGGGGAAAACCATTATGCCAGAAACCTTGGGGTTATTGGCCTGCCAGTTAACTTGTGACTAAAATATAAAATTAATCAGATCTAACAAAACTAGTTGTTAATTAAACGTTAAAGAAAACATTCTTCTGAGTACAATAAAATAATAACATTGTAATTTGACTGACTTAAAATTAGGAAGAGAATTTTCATTTACAACACGATGACTTATTGACATCAGTAATAGTAGTAGTAGTTAGTGTGGGGCTACACTGACCATCTACCCTGACCTTAAAAATAACACCTTCCTCTCAAATTTCACACAAAGGGGATGTTAATAAGTGTAAGCTGTGATAATTTACCAGGTTTTTAAATTTAATATATTTCTTTTTGAATCAAATAACAATAAAATGCATATTTACCATATTTCAACCACAGGTCCAGTCTCTTAGGCAGTCAACATAGAGCGATTTTACTATAGGTTTATGTCAGTAATTATATGTACAGAATTATGATGTCACATGAACTGTTTTGTCAGTTTGAAGGCAAAATAAATATTTAAAGTAAATCCAATAAGAAGTTAAACTTTCATGTATTTAAATTATTTCTGATAAAACATACTGTTGCATAGATTAAAAACTTTATCTATTACCTGCAATTTAATTTATTAAAATAATTGAATGCAAAGTATGAAAAATACAGTTGCTAGTTGTTTTGTTGACTTTTAAATAGTGTATATATTCAATTTTTCAGTTTCCCAACGCATTTGAATTTAACGAGCATTTTCTGATTACAATATTGGATCATTTATATAGTTGTCTTTTTGGAACGTTCCTTTATAATTCAGAACGTGAAAGAATGAAAGAGGTAAGTCTTATTTGATTAAATAAGTTTTGTAAAATAATTCAAAATGAGTTATGTTAGATTTTTTATTTATTTAAAGGAAGTAGCATTGATCAATATCAAAGACAATAAACAATTAGTACATATTTTCAAGCTGAGTGTAAAGTTCAAATAATTTCAAAATCAGCCTCAATTGAGTTAATTTTTACATATACACTGAGTGGCCAAAAAATTAGAGATGCCCTCTAATAACAAGTTGGTCCACCTTTAACTCTGATCACATCACAGCCGATATTATTCTTGGCATGGACTCGACAAATTGCTGAGGAATGTTGGCCCATGCTGACATAATGGCAGCTCTAAAGTTGGGTCAGATTGGATGGTGGCGTTTCCAAACTTTGAAGTGATCTTTTGACTTCATCCCGGCAATGATGTTGAGGTAAGCTGTGCTATTCAGAGATGTGTCCACAAATATCAAGGGACTCAGTGTACTCCAGGAAAACATTCCCCACACCATAATTCCACTGTCACCAGTCTGAAGAGTTGTCATTTGGTAGGAGGGGGTCCATGAATTTGTGCTGTTTTGCACCATATTCTTATCCTGCCATCTGTATGATGGAGCAGGAAACGAGATTCATCGGACCAGGATCTTTTTTCCAATCCTCAAGTGACCAGTTTTGTCATTCCTGGGCCCACAATAGGTGCCTTTTTCCTATTTTTCTATCATATCAAAGGCACTCTTGATGGTCTCCTGCAGCTAAAGCCCATCCTTTGCTAAGTCCTTGTTGTGCATTGGGATATGCTTTGTGATACACTTACATTGAATTCAGCTGTAATTTGTTGTGTTGTTTCCCTTCTGTTGCTGCAGACTATGCGTGCTAATCATCTTTCAACTCTCTTGTTCACCAGCCTTTTTCAACCAGAATTGTACTTATTGCTTGAAGTTTTTTTCTCAATTGCCACTATCTAAACACCCAAGAAAATCTTAAAAGAATCATTTCAGAGATGCTGGCACCAGCTCTTCTTGCGCTGATGATCATCCCTCATTCAAAGTCACTTAAATCTTTCATCTTACCCATTTTGACATTAAATTCCTTGATAACTATGTCATCTGAAGCTGAGCGTTCCTTATATAAGCAACTCTGCATTGTTACATCACTCTACGTCACTGTTGGACTGGTATACTTTCAAATAAGGAGTGTTTCAAATTTTTTGGCCACTCAGTGTATAATAAATACAAATATAAACATCTAAACCTTATAGTTACATATTAAAGCCAAATAATTGCTGAATTATATTTGACTATATCAGTACTACTATTGTTAATTAAATGCTAAATAATTTGGCACTAGATGCAGGCATTAGGTGCCATCTCTTGCTAAATTTAATAAATATAATAAATTATTTAGAAGGTTCTGGAAAGCATAGATTCTGAGTCATCACCAGCTGATGCCGTAAGTAACTGAATATAATTATATTCAAATTAATAAGTTCTGGAAGCGAGGATTGGGCAAAGGCTCTGGTAGCTTAACTGGCAGCACAATTGCTTGATAAGTGGGTAAGTTGGACTTGCAGGTTCAAGTCCCACTTTGGGCCAATTCTTTTCTAGAACTTTCTAAATTACTTATTAAAATATTAATTTAATTATAATTTTTAAATTTAGTAAGAGATGGTGCCAAATTACTTAGCATTTATTTAATAATAATAGTAGTAGTAACATAGTCTAATATAATCTTGCAATAGTTTGGCTTTAATGTACAGTAAGACTTATTACAATACAGAAGAACAGTAAAATCATCAAGCATTACACAGCTTGATTACAATATAAGAAAAACAAAATTTTCCATTTTGGAATATGTAACTGCTCTAAGTTTAGCTGAGGATGGCTTCAAGAAAGCCAAAAATATTTCTGGATAAAAATATTTTTTGATTGTCTTGTTCATTAATTTTGATGTGTTTGTGTACTGTTTGTCTCAAAGGCACTTTTTATAAATTCCATTGGTGCAGCATTAAAATGAAAAGCTATTTTACGACTTCAATTGCTGTTTTGAATTTCATTTACAATTGGTGTATCTATAATATCAATTTATTCAATTTTAGACTGTAAAATCCCAAAAAAGAAGATACAGCAGATGATTGCTTGTTGACTCCTTTTGCCGGAAATGTAAAGCAGTTTGACTGCTCATGTGTGATATTAATAGAGCACCGACTGTAGTAAATCAGCAGGTGTAACAAAGCCATGTGGATGAGCTTTCTCATCTTTTCATCGAGGACAGATTGTAACTGCAAGAAAGACTGAATACTCCATTTTTGAATATCTCCAGGCAAGAGTCTATTAGGAATATCAGAATTACAGATGATCAGTCTATATGTTGATTCTGAATGCACACATATGGTTACAGATTGGAATTGCCAATGGCTTTCCAGGCTTGTAACTATCAAATGGCAATAAACATTGAGGCAAATTATATTTTGTTTTAATGCCAGCTCCTATTGACTCGTTGATAAAATTCCATTTCATTCGTGTTTTTCATTAAAAGATTTGTATGGTGCCTTAGTTATTTTGCTTCAGGATATGTAGCCCTTTTGGGCCCTAATACTTTTCTGATCAGGCCTGCAAACTATATTCCATGGGATTCTATAGTTGTACCATTGCTCTAACTACATCTGTACCATTGCTCTAATCCAGGTTTTGTGCATTGTACCTTGCATGGTGAGTTGTCAATGTGCTTGAAACAACTGAAAATGGGTTCCAAGTATGTATATGGAAGAGACTGCATGAAGCCATTGCTTCTTTGTGCATGCAGGAGTGTTACAGGCTAGTGGAGGATTTGTGCTGGTGTGGGGTTTGTTCTGTTGCTCTTAAGATGGACTACTACTTAATGTGGAGTCTGAGAAGTTCCTGTTACACAAAAATATTATTGCTGACCATCTCTGCCCCCTTTACGTGCCACCTACTTATTGATAGAACATAAAGAGGTACAGATATATATTTCTGGTGGAGATGTGGATCAGCACTGTCATGCTGACAACTTTTCATGCATGGATGACATGGGACTGGTTCAAGGAACATTTCAATGACTTACTGATACTTCTGTGGCTCTACACTTATCAGATTTCAACTAAATCAAACACTTTGGGACACCACTCGGCCTACTCTCAACGACTCTACGTCATCTCCAATTGACAGGGTAGAATTATGGACTGGCATCCAACGTGCCCAGACAACCATACTCTCACCCTAATTCTGACACCTCATTGACCCCCATCCCATGCACATAGGCCATTATTAGCTAAAAAGGCAGAGCTACACATTATTAGTCTGCTGTCTTGTTTCATGTAGTTTGATGCTTATTTATTGCAATAATGTCAGTGAGGAGTCAAAATTTCTCAGACATTATTGCAATTCTCACTTTCAATAAAATTATTTTCTAGACATTTTTGTTGAGTTTGTCTTTCATATTGCATTAAATATATTTTTCCAGTAAAGTTTGTTTTATTCAAATTGTTTTATTTTTGTAGGACGTAAAAAATAAAACCATATCGTTATGGTCTTTTATCAACAGTAATTACGAGGATTTTTGTAATCCTCTCTACACGACGTATCATCAGCAACATGTTCTATATCCCGCAACCACCATGAGGCACATTCAGTTATGGAAAGGCTATTATTGTAGATGGAATCCATGCATGAGGCATCAGGTAATTATATAGTTTTTCTGTCATTACTTAATTTAAATAAATGTCAAATTAACCAGAATCCTAATTGCATTATTTAAATAAATGTCAAATTAACCAGAATCCTAATTGACATTTATTTAAATAATGTTAAATAAAGTTAAATAAGTTGTAAGGAGATTAAGGAGGCAATTTAGAAATGGAAGTTGTAAGGAGATTAAGGAGGCAATTTAGAACAGGACCAGGACATTAAAGACGCTTACCAGTGTAGGCATGAACACAACACTTACAAAACCCTTATAAATAAAACAAGGACTGATACTTGGAAGGATTTCTGTACCAACACTTTCTGTGCGGTCGCAACCCCTGATCTGTACCATACTACTTAACTTGTAAGGAAAAACACTAGCTCCATACCCCTCCACAATCCAGCTCCCCAATGGTTGCTACATCAACAACACAGAAGAAACTATTACACACATCCTCATCAGCCTCTACCCTTCAGATGACTCACAGCAGGATGACAATACACAAGTAATCATCCGGAGTTCTACATTCACTCCACCTAATATACTGACCACAACTTCACCTACATTGGGGTTTTGAATGCCATCTGTTTGCTCACTGATAACAAAGCCCCAGGTCTTCATGGCATAACCACTAGGATAATAAAATATGTGTTTGAGGCCAATCCTATAACATTTGTAATTCTCTTCAATATCTGCTTGAACACTGGCCTTTTTCCTACTCAGTGGAAAAAGGCTAGTGTTAAATTGAATGCCAAACCCACCAGCACTAACAATTACAAAAAATACAGGCCGATCTGCCTTCTCCCAACTCTGGGAAAGTGTTAGACGGTCTAATGATTAATAGGATCACATGGAACCTACCCAAGCATAAAGCCCTGCATCAGAATCAGTTCGGCTTCTCTAAAAACAAAGGTACAGTAGATTCCCTCCATCAGGTCATTAACTACATCCACCAAGCTAAACAAAACAGTCAGCCTACAGCAATTATTACTATTAACTTTAGAGGCACCTTCGATCACACCTGGTGGTCTTTTATCCTGCACACATTACATGTTCATCACTGCCCTCAAAATCTTTACAAACTTTTTCAGTCCTATCTTACCAACAGGTAAGATAGGACTGATCTTACCAACAGGTAAGATAGGACTGAAAATGTGCAGGTTTTATACAACACAAAATAACATAGTCTTACCCATCACTTAAGGCTGTCCTGAGAGATCCAGGTCTGGTCCTGGTCTCTGGAACATAGTCTATAACTTTATTTTGCACTTAAATGACACCCTGCCTCCTGGTTGCCGCATACAGGGCTATGCAGATGACGCAATTATCCTAGCTTCACACAGGAACAGTGAACATTTACAGGACATATGAAACAACATTCTCAATAGCATTCACCAGTGGAGTATTAAACATAGGCAACCCATTAACACAGATAAATGCAAAAGCATAATAGTAGGTAGGAATGTGCCACTCCTCAGGAAGCTTACCCTTTGAACAGGTGCTCACGAAATAAAGCAAACAAAGAAAATTAAATATTTAGATGTTATTCTTTACAAGAGACTTAACTTCACACCCCACATCAAATACATCACGGACAAAGCTAAAAAGACGGCCAACGCCCTCATTAGTATTGCTAGGAACACATCGGGTCTTGGCCCTAATGCTACTAAGCTTATTTACAGGGGTGCAATTCAGCCAGCACTCCTCTATGCCATACAGGTCTGGGGCTACGTGACCGCCAAACTCCATAACTGTAAAAAACTGTTATCTGTTCAAAGGATTGCAGCTCTCCACATTTGTAAGACTTATAGGACTGCACTCACTATTGCTCTTTTGGTAATGTCAGGATTGACCCCTATCGACTTAGAAATTAAATGCATTATTTGGCAAGAAAATCTCGTCACCTTACCCTGGCGAGATTATAGCGACTCGGATGTCGACAAAATAATTAGATTAGGTAAGATTTCCTCAGTCTGACCTTGATCGTTGATATCAAAAAATTCACCATCGACAAAAATACCCTCCCAACTTACGATTACCACCCCCTTGCCCCCCGACGTTTACTTCGAAGATCCAGGTGATCATCCCACATTTAGGATTTACACTGACAGTTTCAAGATGGGTGATGATGTGGGTGCCGCTTTTGTAGTCTACTCTGACTTAGGTCACAATTCTTCACAATTATTGCTCCGTCTAGGTATACACTGCTCAATAGCACAGGGAGAAACTCTAGCTATTTATATGAGCTTAATTCACATTAGGCGTAGAAAGGACAACAGACACTACTTACACTATTGCATTTATTCTGACAGTTTGATAGCTTTACATAAGATTGTGAAGTCTGATAGCTGCTTAAAACTTGTCCATATCATACACCAGATTCTTAGACACTTAGACAACATTAGAATAGATTTCCAATGGATCCCGGGTCATGCAGGGTTCTCGGAAACGAGACCGTCAACCGTCTTGCCAAACAAGCTGCAAAGTCTTCAGTCGTTAGTACTTTCAGTTACATTCCTATCTCGTAAATCAACAATCACGTCAAGAAGCAAATCTTCATTCTCTGGCAAGAGAACTGGGACCGCAACACCACTGGTAGGCTCACCTACACTTTCATCCCAAGGTCGACACTACTGCGACTCTTTGCCACTTTTACCCTAGTTACACCCTCACTCTGCTACTTACAGGACAAGGCAAAAATAATAATAATAAAATTTTTGGGGGGTCTTGCTCGTTTGTCTTTGTCAGTCCGTTCATCTCGTCTAGTTTGTCATTGTGTTCATTTGCTTTTCTCGCTGTTTGTCTATCTGTTAAGTAGTTTTAAGATTTGCAATCGCATTTAGTTATATTAGTGTTAAATAGATATCAGTCTTCCTACTAACAACCACTCGGCACTAATTAGTACACTTACTGTTAGCTTTTTGTGGAAGTACTCGGTTATTGGTGTTTGCTACACTCAGGTTTTCTTTTAGACCCTTTGGATGACTACGGCCTTACGGCCTAAAAACTGCACGCCAATATCAAACATATCGGGTACTGTAGCCTTATGTATGCCGTTGTATGCGTATGTAGGGATCCTACCTTTCTCGACTGTCCCTCCCCTTTCCCTTACCCTCTTTTCTGCCAGCTAAACACTTCGTGTACGGCCGACGTTTTTCTTGTATATGGAGGGCCATCACATAGTGTTTGGAGGAGTCGTTTTTATCCCGCCTGCCCTAAGGGTATTCTGCGCCTTGCCGGGTGGCAATCGCCGACTTAAAGTGTGAATGCTTTCCCACTTGTGCCGTCTGCCGTTCAAAACTACAGTAGAGCATCGATTATCCGAACCCCGATTAACCGTCACATCGGTTAACCAATCGTTCTAGTCGGCAAATTCAAATGTCCGCTAGTGACGTGGCGCTACAATATTTGGCTATGTCTTGGCTACTTTAATAGTACTTTTACGTGTTTTAGCTGGCAACACTGGCTCGACCACGAAAGGGAGCCAGTATTTAAACGAGGCTTAATTTTCTAAGTTTTAACGATACAATAGCGACGATTATTATTTAAAAAAAAATTTTGTTAGGCTTAACATCGATGAAAATTCAACGCGAAGTAGGTTAATAGCGATATACTAATATACTAATTACATGAGATATACTAATATACTATACTAATAATGTATTTTTTCATATTTTTCGGTTATCCGTCTAACCCCAGTCCCCAATTGAGTCGGGTAATCGATGCTCTACTGTATATATAAAATACAAATCAATTGAAGCACACGTTAATGGATGGCACAAATCTTTAGATCTGAAAAATCTTAGTTGGCAACGTGTTATCAGAATTAAATTCAATGATTTTCGAATTTGCTTATGCCGAGGATTTGTTTCTTTTTTTGTATGGTTAATTCCAAATGGGTGGTAATCGTGTCGAAAATTGTCACTCGCATTAATCCTCACATAGAAGATGTTAGTAAAAATTTTGTTTTTAGCCAAACTTTATTAATGTTTAGTAGTATGATAAAATTCAAAAGATACAAAACAAGTTTTTGTAATTAGTATGAATAGGAGAAATGATTGCAGATGGTGTGTTAGGTGACACTTAATAAATTCGGATTGACAGCGTATCGATATACTTTGTCGAAATAATCAGACGAGAGCATAGTTTGTAGAAAGGAAATATCGCAACTAACTCTTATAGTAGTTCGTTTTTCAAATTGACTGCATCAAAATATTCATTCGGGCAAACTTCTATTACCTTCAGAGGGCTGTTTTGGATGGATAGAACAATTAATCGTACAAAAATCTGCTTTTCTTGCACTTTGTATTAACATTCCGATATTTGTAGTTTGGTATAAACTGTCTCGAACTTCGTCATTAATGTCGGCGTCGATATTTGCAGGAATCCGTACAGCAGCGTAGTCGAGAATTTTTGGCCCTAAAGGCGCAGTTACAGCAGAAGGTAAACGAACTCAAGCAGGAACTGGAAGCGAAGAATGCCAGAAACGCCGCCTCCTCTCCGAGAATCACTTCTCCGGTCACCGTCTGACCGGAATTCGAAGAAAGTAATTTTTCCGGTCCGTAATCCTTTTTACTGGCGGATCCATCCCGCTTTGATTAAAACCGCGCGGGCGAGATTCTTTGTAAGAATTACTCGGCACGTCGATTAGTTTTTTATATGATTTTGTACGTGCAAATCTCTTGGGATGGACATACGAAACGCGAGGACGCAACGAAGATTGGGTCGAGTTAGTTTACCGTCGCTTTCTAGATTTGTAATCCATATTTAATTTGTCTTTGTGTAGAATAAAATGAATTTTTAATGAAGTTTCCAAAGGTCTTTTTTTCTGTTTTAATGCTAGAAAAGGATATGGTTCTAAAGCATTGTTTTACAGAAACAAAGTAAATTGAATTTGGAAAGTCGAATGTGAGTTCTAAACTGCAAAAATATAAAAGGAAAGCCCGGTAAGTTTTAGGTGTGCCTTCTGTTGAAATGATTACCGGAATTAGAAGTTTTCATTGTTAGATTTGTTTTTATTAGAGCGACAAAATCGAAATAAATGGGCCCAAATTTACATATCATAATACCTAACATTTTGGGCCATTTTTATTTCAATTTTCCTTGCTCTAATAAAAACAAAATTTCAAATTCCAGTAAAGTCTATCGTTATCATTTCAATAGAGGACACATCTAAAATGATTCTTTTTCTTGCAAGAAAAGAGAGCTTTTAAAACAGTTTTGTCTCTCCCAATATATAATTGTAACAAGTCGACTGCCTATCGCGGGGATGGGCAACCTTTTTCTACGTAAGGGCTGCGTTTCAAAACTTTTGAACTGGCGCGGCCGCATACCATAGAAAAGAGGAAAAAATGTCGGTAAATCACAATTCTTTATTCACGTGTAATTATAAATTAGAATAGGTATGCTTAATTTAGCTTCTGAAATTGATGTAAACGTAATATATTGGAAATATTTGGTTAAATATTAGCCACCGCTAGTTTTAAATTAGTTTCGATGTGTCTCTTAGCCGGTTTTTTGTTTTAATTTTTACTAAATTCATTGTGGAAAAACTATTGACATAAGTTGTAGAAAATAACGCTTGAATTTTTGCCGCATACTTCCTTAAGCTGGGAAATTGATATATTTATTATATTTTACACGGGCCGCGGGTTGCCCATCCTTGTGGCCTATCGTATAAGACGGGTGACCAAACTACGATCCGCGGGCCAGATCCGGCCTGCCGCCGCACTGCGCAAACCTAAAATATAATTATTTATATGGAAATATAATATTTTGTGGATAAACTTGTACGCATTTTTACTATGTAAAAAATTAAAATGATAGTAATATAATTTTTAGGAAAATCAGTGAAATAAAAAATTCGGCGACTTTTTGCCACTTTGGATATCGGAGCGCTTTTTGTATAAGTACAGTACCTGCAATGAAGTTTCTAACAAATGCGATTACCAGCTTGCAGAGTCCACCAGTGGCCGAGCGGTCTTCGTTCTCCGAACACCGGGAGTTCGGTCGTGGGTTCGCGCTTGGCTCCGATGGGCTGGCCACGCGGAGTTTTCCGGGTTTTCTCCACGTTTGTAACGTCTAAATAGGGGACAGTTTCCCTTAAAAAGTACTAGAGTCGTGCCGGTCATCTATTAACTGCTTTTGAAGGAGGAAGTTTTGAATTGAAAAAAACGTGACTTTCGGTTTGCACGGGAAATTCGTATATAGTTACTCGGGGCCTCTTGTCCCTAAAGTTTCCATATCTGGTCTCGGATTTCATCTAACCCCATTCTCGAGATTAAGACGGGCGACAGCGCGAATTTATAGGTTGCAATTTTTTTAAAAATTGTAGCCCCGTCAGGTGATGGATAAAAAGGATCAATCGGAAAAGTCCAGCTCTAACTCTGACATTACAAAATTTGGAAATAAATGTAGCATTCCTTCCAAAGCAAAATTGTCGCGTTGTACGTGTAAGTAATGAAGACAGAAAAATTCTTATCCGTCAGAAAAGAAAATATCACGGCGTGAGATACGAGCGAAAGTTTCAAAGTTCGATCGACACTCGCGGTCCAAGTGGAACGGAAGTGCCAAATTGATTAATCGATCAATTTAAGAGTTTAGGGGAGAGATTCTTTTAAAAAAGCTAGAAAGTCGAGGAGAAAATGCGGCGACTTCTTCCCGGCTCGATCTGTTATGAAAGAATTTGATTTATTTCGTGCAATGGCCGAAAACGGTATTTCATCAAACGATTTTCGGAGATGGTTAATTAAAAAAGTTGATTTTTTTTATTCTAATTTTTACGAAATTCGAACGTCTTTTAATGTTTGTTCGAAATACGTCACACATGACGATTCGCAATTCGGTTGTGTTTCTGTTCGGAGTCGGAGGTGTTTTTGTCCAGCTCGTAAATTGTGTGCTTTTTTCCGATTTCCAGAAAGAAAAGTGATTTTTAAGGTAAGTCTTAGTCCATATTGCCCCTAGACGTAAGAATTTATTTAATACTAGCAGACCCGGCCACGCGTTGCTGTGGCTCAAAATGTATCTATTATAAATGTATAACGCTTCCCCAGCGGGGGAATTTCGAAAAATCCATTCTTAGTGTACAGTACATTTTTTATAATATTTAATTTTTATTCTTATTTTCATTTATTTTACTTCCTCTTTTCTCTGCCATTATATTATTGCATCCCGTCTATGACTAACAGCATGAATCTACTATGTATTCTTTTGTATTTCTGCCTGGCTGCGCTCGGCGGTGCCAGATGATAAAGATTATTTTGACTGATGACTGTACAATACATTCTCTCGACGTACTCTATTAAAACGCGATCAAACACGCGAAAAAATTCATCTAAAATAGTATAATAGAAGCCGAGTTCTTTTCTGTAAGACTTAATCCTGTCTTCTCCCCCGCGGGAGGGATTTCGACATCTAAATTATATTTAAAAAAACGCCCGTATTCGAATGGAACGTTGTGTGAAAGCGGAAGAATCGTCGCCAGAAGATATCTCGGGTAGGGTTTCTTTCCCGGGATTCCCGCCGTTTATTCCTTACGAGAAAAATCCCGGGAAATCTCGCATTTCAATAATAATTTATCGTGTCGGGTTTTCTTTCTACCATTTATTATACGAAAAGTTGCATTTTGAAGTCTCGCCTAAGAAAGAAATTTTGAGGTTTCGTGCTACATATTATTGCCTATGTTTTACAAGTCTCTACTTGTTAGTTCATGTAATATCATTTATTGTGTTTCCGCTTCATCGAGCAGCGGAGCACTCGCCGAAAGTAAATACCACTCGTCGCACTTTAGTCTCGAATACACATTTATAAGTTAAGGAATTCGTTAAAGCTTACATTCCCATTTATATCCTATCGTTTGTAACTGTGTGATTATTCTAAATTCCTTTATTACTCAATTACTCGTATTTTACAACAATCAAACCATTGTAACGTCAGAGTCATTTGTTTGGAAACATTTTTTAAAAAAAACCAACCAAACCAACAATCAGCAACCTGTAAAGAGTGTAAAGCCGAGATAAAGTGCAAAGGTTGGTCTACTAGTGGTCTTATCAGACATCTGCGTGCTAAGCGCAATATAAACGAGTCTTCTAGTGATTCCGATGATAAAAGTGAAGAACATGGATGTAGTAGTAATGAGAGGAAAGCCTCTCAGCAAAATCTATCATCATTTTTAATAAAACACAATACTTTGCAAGAAATAGTTACAAAGTTGTCTACGCTAGATGGTGTAGCTATTAATTCTATTGCAAAAAGTGAATATATTGGGCAATCTTTGGCAGAGAAAGGGTATACTTTGCTAACAAATCCAACTCGCGTCATGGATCTGGTTCACTCACAATACAAACAGATAAAAGAAAGTTTGATTTCTAAAATTGCGGAGAAAATAACTTCGGGAACAAGGTTTAGTATATCATTAGACGAGTACTCCTCTAAATAATCGCCGATATATGAATATTAATGTACACGTAAGGGAGGGAAAATTTTGGAATTTAGGAATGGTAAGGATTTCTGGTTTTCTATCCGCCGAAGTTGCTGTTAATGTGGTCAAAGAAAAGTTAGCCGAATTTCATATTTCTTTGGAAAAACACGCGGTGGCTTGTGTAACTGATGGTGCAACTGTGATGAAAAAAGGGAAGATTAATCGAATGCGAGCACCAATTATGCACGTGGAATCCACTTAGCAGTGTGTGATGCTTTGTATCAGAAATCATCTACCCAACTTACAATCCCCTTTATTGATGAAAACCAGCCAGAAGTAGATCATCAAAGAGACGAGTATAACATTGATGAAAGTGAAGATTTCACTCGAGGTATTGAGATTGAAAATTTTATTTCAGAATATGAACACTCTAATGAAAGTCTATTTGAAATACATATAGCATCTGAATTGTATGAAATCGACGTCTCTCAAATCACCAATAAAGTCGGAAAGATAGCTAAAACCTTTATTCTTCTCGGGTGACTTACGAATGTGTTACAAGAATACGTTAAACAGGATCGTGTAAACCCTTACATTTAGTGTTGGATTCAAAAACAGATGGAACGGTCTTTTAGATATGCTAGAACGGTATATCAAGATAAGATCACCCGTGTTGAAAACGCTCACTGATCTCAAAGAAGATAAAAATAGTACTCTTAGCCTCGGAAAACAAGAAGTCGGTGTAATTCGCGGCAACGCTAGAACCCTTAAAACTAGCTGTCGAAAAGCTAGGCAGAAGAAAATCTACTCTACTTTCAGCAGAGGATATTACCTCTTTCGTTTTGAATGAACCAAAACAATCGAACGCGGCTTTTTCTAAAAAAGTACACGAATATTTTGTTATCCGCGTAAAAGAGAGAAAGAAGAAAAACTTGATGGGATTGTTACTTTACCTCACTGATGAAAACAAATACAAGAAGTTCGAGAGTGACAGCGCATTCCAACAATCCGAGGCAATTATAACTTCATCGGCAAAACAAATGTTCGATCGCCTTTTTGGATAACCCGCTATTGCTGATTCTAGCGAAGGTAATGAATTCAAATACGTACAAGAATCGCAGACTGTCGCACTACCGAATGAAATGACTTCAGCCGACAAGCTAAATACATATCTTGAAACATCCGAGAGGTCAAGAATACGACAAGAACGGAGAGCAATGAACAAAGAATTAAGTGCCGGAGAGCAGTTAGAAACTGAGTTAGCAATGTTTATAAAAACAAGCGTAAAATCTCTCTTCTTTTGAGAGCTTTGAAAACCATTCCACCCACCTCAATAGTCTGAAAGGGCGTTTTCAGCCGCGGGTCTTTTTGTGACCAAATTGAGAACTAGATTAAGTG